CAAAAGCCTTTTTGGGATAACATGTTCTCTCCTTTTAAGAATATCCAATCATCAAAATGTAGATAAGACTAATTATTCTAAAATTTTCTTTGGAGCTTTCAGATATGAAATCAAGTTTCACACTTATCCTGGGTTATCATAATCCAGCTTTGAACAACCCGGCCCAGGAGAATAGAGAAAGCGATCACCAATTCAAAAAAATTTCTCCTAATCAGTACCACAGGAAATGTAAAGAGAACAGTGTGGAGAATATGAATTTTAATGTTAAGGTATAAAGGGTTAACTTAAGACCCAAAACAAAAATAGTGAAAAATTAATTGAAAACTTTCTGAACAACCACATAAAATGGTTGCCAGTCTGGCAAATTCTTTGAAAATTCAGTTTCCAGAATGTTTGCAAGTTGCCACAGCAACCATAACAGTTACAACTTAGAGAGCTGTAAAAAACATCACTAACCTTACTAGTGAGTCATCTTGTAAAAGAAGAGTGGTCTCCTGGATCAGCTGTTTATTTTCTGGTTGTAAAATAATAACAATGTTGTTGGTCTTGAATCTCACTTTCATAACCCTATGAGCTTGGTATCTACCCCTGTATCTGACCTAATCAAAACTAAATCAAAATTCTCCCTTGTGATTAGTCATTGCTTGCCAAATTTGAGCATTAATAGGACATTGTATGCATTATACTTCACAACTGGACAATGCATATCATGTGCACATGCTGTTGTCATACATTTTGCTGAGTTACCTGTTGTTTTTTTCCATGAAATATAGGGATGGCTAGTATGTTTCTTAAATTTTGTCACAGTTTTGATTAATTGGTAACAGGACTTCCAGTTGTTGAATTCTTCCTGTAATCATACTCAAGATTCACAAATCCAACTCCTGCAATTTTATTATCACTCACATGATTACAGACCGAATTAGAATACACTCAGTCCTTCTAAAATTGCAAGGGTGCCATTTCTTTTAAAATCTTATTTCAGCATCATTCACCAGAATACCATGACAAATCATTTATAAATACATGTATTGGGTAACACAGGACCATGTTTTAAGTTCTAATGACTTGCTTTCTTGCTGAGAAGGCGAGGTACATGTCTGGATTGGGTAACCGGACATTTTGCACAAAAGACTTTTCACACAAGTCTTTTAGCACAAGTTTTGGACCGTTCGCACAATTCTTACTGGTCATTTCGCACAATAATTATAACTGAGAAACATCAATATAAAAGGTATACTGATTGATACAGATAAGACATTTCACCTTCACAAGATCCAATGGTGAGGACGTAGACATTTATTTACGTAATAACTTCAACTAGATTGAAACGCTTGTGAACACGATCACTATTCTTACTTGAAGAAAGGAAAGGTACAAATCTCTCTCTCCATGAAAATGTAAAGAACTCCCTATTCAAATGACTACTTCTATAACTTTTCCTTCGTTGAATGAAAAATCTTTTAGTTTTGACAGTATCATCCACTACAAATATGCAAACATGATGACCCATGCTAAGGACACCATGTTGATTTCGAAAGTAATTGTCACTACTCTTCCCTCCTTGTTTGATCGTCTTCAAACAGGATGTTCTATTGATCTGTAAGAGTTTCAAATAAAGCTATTGAAAACTTGCTTCCTATATCTTCGTTATGTAATGAAAATTAGGCATACTGGTAATAAAAGATTATATGCTAGCCGTTCGATAAGTAATCATATAAGCTTAAGATCAAAACAAATTAAGAAATCTAGATGTAATATAGCTTACATGAATGTAGGAAAGGGCTAAATTTCTACGAGTCTTGACTGAGTAGTGAGTTAAAATATGCATGATTTGTCGGGTAATGTGGTGTGAACTTGAATTTTATATATTTACAGATATTTTATAAATAGGTCTTTTGTCCTTTTAAATAAAAAGTGAAACAGTTTGCAGGTTTTTACTTTGACTTCAAAGGAGGGAGGATTGGTGACAATTAGTATATGTAATCACATGAGGCCAAGTACTATTAAGGATTAATTGCACGAGAGTTTTCAAAATTTTCCAAAATTTTGAAAACTCAAGTGCAATTAATCCTTAATAGTACAAGGTCTCATGGGATTACTTGTTTATCAATAAAGGGCAAAATTTATACGAAGGAAAATCACGCGCGCAGTCTATTTTTATCTGGGAAGCCTGTTTAGCGCTACGGCAAATCATCAATCAAATTGAACTGACCAATCAATTCAATGAAATTTTATTTTTCAAAAACTGTGTCGTGATACACTGCCAAAAGTCTAGAAAACAAAGCTCATTTCAACAGAGCGTTTCTGCCAACAGAAAAACAACAAAATGCTTTTAACTGAACAAGGTAATCATGCCCTCTCTTGATTACTAAAAATGCCCTTGATTAAGAAAAAATGCCCTCTCTCTCAACCAATCAGCGCTCAGTAATTTTGCCCTTTATTGATAACTTTCAAAATCAACATGGCATTCTTAGAGTTGGGTTGTCATTTACATTTGTATGTTTGTAGTGGATGATGTACTGTCAAAACTAAAAGGTTTTTCGTTTAACAAAGGAAAAGTAATAGAAGTAATCGTTCAAATAGGGAGTTCTTTATGTTTTCATAGGAAGAAAGATTTGTTCCTCTCTTGAAGTAAGAAATAGTGATCATGTTCACAAGCATTTTGATCTAGTTGAAGTTATTATGTAAATAAATGTCTACGTTCTCGCCGTTGGACCTTATTGAAAGTGACATGTGAAGGTGAAATGTCTTATCAGTATCAATTAGTATATATGCTGATGTTTCTCACTCATAATTATTGTGCGAAATGACCACTAAGAATTGTGTGAACAGTCCAAAACTTGTGCTAAAAGACTTGTGCAAAAGTCTTTTGTGCGAAATGTCCTGTATTCCTGGATTGCAGTAAGTGCCACAAAGATGTTGTACCATGAAATTCCTTGTACTTTTCAGTTTCATATTTTTTTCCTAGAGTCCTCAAATAAACCCAATCACCAAGTCTAAATTGAGTACAACATTTATTCAAAGATAGCATTGACAATTACTTTAAATTTTACTCCCATCTGTAGAATTGAATTTAAGACAGCCCTTGTGCAATTAGAGCAGCACTAAATCAACTTGTTCAGGGCCTGTTTACATGGAGATAGAGGACCCCAGGTAAATGAAGTAACCTGCTCAGCTGTGGGGGAGAAATAGCCTGTGTTTATATATAATGTTACAACCATGCGATTCCAGGTGAAGTTTCTTGAGGTTGTTGTTACACCTGCAATTAGGGAGTATAAGATATCACCACAGCAACATGGTAGCTGACAGCTGCTGCTACCAAGTCTTTTTATCAGCTATGAGTAATTCGTTCTTATTGTTGTTTTGGAAATAGGCTTTTTATACTTCTTATGATGTTTTTAATGTTTACCTGGTTAGTGTTTGTGTATTTTTTTTCTTAAGGGCACAGTTAATTTGGAGCCTTTTTTAGGTCACCACTCACACTATTTGTGTCCTGCACCTTTGCCTCTCTTTCTTGTGACCTCTTCAAATTTATTTTTCCTCCTAGTCTTATTTTAACATTGTGATCATAGTGAAAGAAATTAAATAAATAAATAAATGTGTTTAACCCATTTCTGATGACTTCACTTGGTGTTTTAATGTTTTCGTTCTGTATAGGATGGCTGAGAAATGTACAAAGTTTTAGGGCACAAGTGTTTCACTATAATTTAGCTAATTTGACCTTTTGTCACATGAATGCAACCCTGGCTGGACAGGTCACCCCACCTTGAGACATTTACATGGCAAATGATAACCCAGGTTGACAGGTTACCCTATCCAGCAAACGGGGGAACCCACTTAAGCATGTTCCCACCTATCATGTAAACATGACAATGATAAAATAAGAGATTATATAGATAGGTGGGTTACCTTTTCTAGGCGGGTTACCTCATCTAGGCAGGTTACCTCACCTACCTGAGGTTCACCATTCCCATGTAAACAGATCCTCAATGGGTCTGATACAGTAATATGATGCTACTAGCATATAATTGAGGCAACATTCTGAGTTAGAAATCAAGTCAAAAGTCTGAAATCTCTGAAAACATAATCAAATTAACTTACACCTGATGGAAAGAAAAAAGTGCTAGGTGTATAAGGAATCAGTTATCATTTGGAGAGGGTTGGTGCAAATGGAAGATAATCAAGTTAAAATTTTCTTAATTCTCCTTTGGTGAGAGACAATTATTTCTTACTCTCTCATCTTCCTCCTCCTAATGCTCACTCCATTATAAAACTATTCATGTATGAATTTGTATTGCTTACTTACCTCCCTACGTAAAGAGCATAGGCTCTCTGACTATATGCAGTAACTCCCCCCCGTTTAAATGAGGACCAATTCGTAAATGGCAAAACAAAAAATTTTCATCTTCAAAAAAAGGTTCATATCCATCTGCCGATCATCAACCAACCAGGTCCTATGATTTACCTGTAGTAGCCGCTGCAGTAAGTAGTAGGCTTTGAGCAGTTTTCTGTTGCAAGGCCTTCAAATATTCTCCTCTACATATGCAAGCAACGATGACCCTCAACTCTTCCAGATCATCTGGAATATCATCAGCTACAATAACAGGAAATTCTCATGAACATAACAGGTATTGCACATAAATAAAAGTATAAAGAAAAACTTCCCTTACGTTTGTCTTCGAAATCACAGAGGTAGTCAAATCGTTATCTCACCTAATTCAGTGATACTTTGCTCTAGTGAATCAATTAACGTAATTATCTTCTCTTCGTTCCTTTCAAAGACTGCCTTTTCTAAACTGTGAAGAATCTCAATTGAATTCGTAGCCATTTCTCTGTAAATGTACAATTCACTTTTCACAAGCCGAGCACGTTTTCAAATCCTACTCCATACCTCCCCTCCTTATCCCACCCCCCTCCCGGCGAGGGAACGTCAAAGTTGTCTATGATCGATTAGACCTACAGAGCAAAGACTGGGACTAGACCGGAAGGACGCCTGGGAGATCGAAGCAGTTGATGCTCAGGTGATGGCGAGCTCAATTGTGAAGATTTTGATTTCACGACGAAATAATTTCCCTCCAATCGCCCGATACCTCACCGACAACTCTTCTACACGGTTTAAAGTTGGTGACGAGGTGAAAGTGCGTCGGTTTGTTACTGTGGAAGATGTAAACGCATTTGCCCAACTGACGGGGGACACAAACCCTATCCACTTGGATGAGCATTTTGCGAAGAAAACCGAACTTGGGCAACTTGTTGTACATGGGGTAATACTCAACGGGTATCGTAATCTCATCAATATCAAATTTATTAATTTACACTATTAGAAATCTTTGGATTCAATTAAAAAATAAATTCGCCGTTTTCCCCAAGAGTGAAATTTAATATACTGGTAGAGTAAATAATTTGTTATCAGTGGCCCACACTTTGATCACACTTGTAAATGAGGACACTTCACAGGTTATATCGATAATCTAATGGCACAGTACACATTGTTCATTTTCTACAAATGGGTACTTTGTTCTCTGGTGATTATGATTACATGGTGTCAGCTGCTATTAAGCTCATGATTAACAAATCAAGGGATGAGGAAATGTACCACTTCTGTATTTCTTATTTTAAAGAATCACTTTTTTTAAACTGGATAGCCTGCTGAAGGAGAGAATCTCAAGGTTGAACCTCCCCTCCCTGGTTTCTGTACTACTGACACCTTTACACATGCTGTCAAGAAAATGTTAGGAAACAAATGTTCCCTTTTATTTTAGGATAGTTTCAGCTGTACATGGCACTAATCTCCCAGGTCCCGGATGTATGGTTGTGTCACAATCCCTCAAGTATCCAGCCCCTTGTGAGTAAGAGAAGTCTACTAAAAACTCATATTTGATACCTCTGGTAAATATGCTCAATACATTCTCAGAGTCTGGTTTTTATGACAGCAACATCACAAATTTATCTTTTCAAACTAAAAATAGAAGAAACCCAGCACTTGACCCTTAACACCCTTACCTTTGTATTCATTTTCTCCTCACTGTTCTGTTTACATTTCTCCTGTTACTGAGAAGGAGAATTTTTTTGATAATCCGGAGCTTCTTAAATTAATGATCATTTCCTTTTTCCTTTTGACCTCCTCATTTGATCCAAGGGCAATAATGTAGGGTGAAATTAGAAGCCAATCACTATTAGGGGTTTAAGGGTTAAATATTTTTTAGGTATTCTCAATGTACTTGGAGAATTACATTGTCTAAAATTTCTGTTTCCATTCTTTTTAAAGGAAAGTAGAAAGGAGTGTGTATTTTTTAACCTTTACATGGTTTCAGGGCTTTCATCTGGCTGACTTAGTTAAAGATTTAGCCATAAAGCATCATAGCATCATGGACTTTAGCCTCATTCTGATCACTTTGTTTCCTAACCATGGGTCACATTTAGCCCAATGTACATGACTAAGGATACATTTAAGTTTATGCAAGAGTATAGAAATCAAAGCTGTGGTACAATGGACCTCTGACTACAATTTATTTTCCTAGTATTTCCAGGGGAAGAGGTTTTGACTCATATTCAGGTTACCAGATTGAGGCATGCTATCATGAGTTGTGATGTGACTTGCACAGCAGTTCATAGGGGGAAAGTAAGTGATCTCTGTTAAATTATGACTGCCACAGACCAACTGACCACACTGTTAGAGTACTTTAAAGCCCTTAATTATCATCATTACAATTTTCTCAAATGTGATTGGTGCATTAACTGCCCTATATTTCTCTAATTGTTCATAGAGTTGTAATGAGACTGTGTACTGGTAATCTAACAGTTAAAGCAGGCAATTTAACTATTTTTACTCAAATAATTCCACCAATCACAGAATCGATTACAATAACCATAGCAACAACCACTTACTCTACAAAGCTGGAGAATTTCCAAAATGGAGGAACTTCTTAACTTAGACAATGTCTCTTCCAGAGATATTTTCTCCAATAAAAGGTTTTTTCCTCAGAAATTGTAATGGTAATGAGTATTTGGTAAAAGATTTTTGCATTGTCCAATTTGGGCGGTAATCATACTCGTGATTGACACATTTGACTCTCGCTTAGTGTCTGTCTAATTCTGTAATCACTCAAATGAGTACAGACTAAATTGGACTCCTTGATCCTATTACCATTATATGATGACAACAAGGTTTTGATTTTAGTCTTTGACAGGTTATACTACCCAGTTAAATTAGGTGAAGTTTTACTTACAGTTTTCCAGTACCTATTTGTTCTTTTGGCTCACCTTAATGATGAAAAAAAAAACAAAACAAAACACAAAAGCAGAGAAACAAATTGGCTGCATTGAACTTCAACTTTTTGTGGTCATTCTTTTTCAGAATTGACTTTTTAAGCTAAAGTAACAAACTTTTAAGTGCATCAGACTTGTTTTTGGTCATAAGGAGGACTTTTATTAGTGGTTTCATGTGTGTTGTTTTTGTTTGTGGCCAAGTATTTTACCCATGGTGCAATGCTGAGATATGACCCTAGGGTTAACATTGTATTTCAAATACAAAAGTAGAAGCCAAATTGCAAGAAAATGAAATAGCGGTGGAATTGAAATGGATCCCTTGTTTGATGGGTTCACACATTATGCTAGCAGACATTTTGCTCATTGCTCATAATTTTCCTCCCCTAAGGCCTACAGGGCTTGCAAGAATACAATGAAAAATAGTATCTGCAGGTATTATATGTGACACTATTTTTTGAGGTGTATGTTTTTTTTGCTGCTGTTTTATTTTTGGAATTTGTACATTTCAGGTTGTATTATGTGGTGAGACCAAGTTGTTACTTCCCAAGAAACCTGGCTGAGTCCATGTGTATGTGTTTTGTCCATTTCCAAGTAAATAAGATGTTCTCAGCTGGAAAAAATGGCATATGGGAACTTTTTTCCTAGTCCAGCAAATGTTACCCAATCACAAGCAAGCTTGTCTGTCACTCTGTTACATATGCTATTTTTTTTGCCTCACTCGAAAGGAAACTTCACTAGAGGTTCTGGGGACCTTAATTCACGGACAAAAAGACACTTGCAAGGATGATCAACCTCTTTCATGAAAGGTTCCATTTAACTGACAATAAATTTAACTTGGTAGCATATGCAAGGAATGTGCTGTACCATAGTCCAAAACACTGAATAAGGAGGGATCACAGCTGGTCACCCAAGAGGAATGGCGGGGTGAACGTTTCTTACATCATGCAGGTTATTACGGAATAGGGTTAAACACGATTTTAAAAAAGCCATCTCATGCCATAATTGCTCACTTAATGTACAACTTATTAAAAAAAACTCACTCAAAAATGCTTTGAATCTTCGCTGCTAAACAACATCCACAAGATGGTGCCGTATTGGAAAAACGGAACAATAAAGCAGACTTAGTATTCTTGGTATACTGTTATTTAACAGTTGGAGCTCAAGGACAGAAATTAGAAAATGGCTAACGTGATGTTTTAGCGTAGTATTTGTCATAACAGTCCTATAACTTGCAAGAAGAAATGAAATTGAAATCCGTGCTTGTTATTTTGGTTTCTGTAGTTTGCTTTCGTGAATTAAGTCGTTGACTGTGGTCAACGCCAAAGAAAGTTACTGGTGGGTGACCGTTAAACTGTACTAACAGTTGTTATGGGAAATAAACGTGGAAGAAATTTTACCTGAAAGATTATTCTTAAATTTATGTGAGTGGTTCCGCTTTAAGTGACCGTTTAGTAAAGCTAAAGAAAATACAGAAAGGCCGTTGGAACTCAGCTAGTCAAGGGTGATCACTAAATAGATGACAATTAGATATTAGACGTGGATTGTTAGGTTAATGTCTCGCGCACTTTATGATTCTCTTTGATCTGAGTCGACGTTAGTATCTCGGGTACTTTTAAGATTAATGAAAAAAGAGGGGTAAGTTTCTTAACGGAAACTGTAGTGCTACGTCGGTAGATAACGTAAATTGGCCACTAAAGAGATTAAAAGCTGACGTTTCGATTGTTAGCCCTTTGTCAGAGCGTTAGCCCTTCGTCAATCGTCTCAATCGCTCTGATGATAAGAAATGCGCTTAGAATGAAGCAGTTGGACATAAATAACTTGTTAGATGTTTTGGTGTGTAGTATCGCTGGGCATTTTTACTCGTTGTTTGTATTTTGACCCGCCCTGCAGGCTCGATCGTCAAAATACAACACAGCTCATAAGGAATTGCGGTGATTTCGCCAACGAGTGATTTCGCCAACGTCACGTTCGCCAACGTCTTTGGTCGCGTAGCCAACGCGATGAGTCGCTTCGCCAACGTCCTACCGTGCATTTATGTGGGCCCACTGTGTTTTAAGTTGCGCGTACAAGAGAAGGAAACTAAGTCCGAACAAAAATAACGGAAGGAAACTAAGTTCGAACGGGGAAATCAAGTCAGCTCAGTCAAGTAAATAACACACAGAAGCAAGAAGAAGTAATGGTAAATTTTTATTTAGAGTAAACTAATACATTGGCGAAGTGACCAGTAGGACTTTGGCGAAGCGACTTTTCGCTTTGGCGAAGCGACCTAAGACGTTGGCGAACGTGACGTTGGCGAAATCACTCGTTGGCGAAATCACCAGATACCCTCATAAGACTACTCAGCGATACTACACACCAAAACGTTTAATGAGATAAATTTCTCGCGCACTGTAAGAATTTGCATTCTCTTTCAGTGAATTGTGATGTTGGTATCTCGCGCACTTTTAGAATTTTCTTTCAGTGGATTGTGACGTTGGTATCTCGCGCACTTTTAGGATTCTACTACATTGGACTGTTACGGACTGTTACGTTAGTATCTCGCGCAAGTTTAGGATTCTCTTTCGTTGGGTCATGACGTTGGTATTAGACGCACTTTAGGAATTCTCTTTCGTTCGGTTGTGACGTTAAAATCTTGGGATCATGTTTACTGAAGGTAGTGTCGGTCGACACTATCGGTCGATATATCTACCAACACTCGGTCGATAAAATCCTATCGGCCGACATATGGACCGATACTCGAACGGCACTCGACCGATGGTGCCGACCGACACTACCTACAGTAAACATGAGTTCTCATACAATTTTAAGATTCTCTCTCAATGGATTGTTACCTTAGTATCTTGCGCAACATTACGATCCTCCTTCATTCGATTCGACGCAAGTATCTCGTGCACGTTTAAGATTCTTTTCCACTGGATTGTAACGTTGATATATCACGCACTTTTAGGATTCTCGTCCAATGGATTACAACGTTAGTATCTCGCGCACTTTTAAGATTATATGTCATTGGACTGTTACTAAAGTATCTCGTGCACGTGTAGGATTCTCTATAATTTGATTGTTACTTTAGTATCTGGCGCACTTCTATGAATCTCTTTCTGCATTTGACTGTTACGTTAGTATCTCACAATAAATATCGACTAATTGAGGCTGGCTCCGCTATTAGGTCTATGTATCAATGTTATTTTTACGACGAATTGCGTCCTCTTATTACTAAATGGTTACATCTTATTTCAGTATAGTCTTGCTTCGTGCCCATCTCAACTTCTGTTATGTAATATATCAAACACGAGTGGAACACACGAAGTCCTTATTGACATTCACTTTTGCATGTTGAGTTCGACCTAAAAACAAAAAGTTCTGATTTTAACACTACTTTAACAGGTGTGAATTCGCTTATCCATAATGAGGAAAAAAAATGGATAGGAACTTTGCACTCTAACATGTTGAATCTCGACCCTATAAGGATTGGAGCTAAAACAGACCCAGCGATTCCGCGGACATTTTGGTGCCAATTTGCAATAGCTACTGAGGTTAAGGAAAAAGTTTATCTGCGTGTGAACTTAAGAATAATACATTTCAGTCAACGAGAAAAAAGTGTTTATTAAGCAGATGAGTATGCCTTCCATTTACAAAGTTAAAGTTAGAATTATTTATTATATTTCATTTACAATGAGCAGATTATGGGATATAGAGGGTTAATTGTAAATAAGACAAATGCACCACAGAAGAACACACTTGAGAAAAAAACATATTGGGCAGGATTTTGCAAACTATTGAAGAATTGTAGTACCCCCTACATTTGCACGCTTTAAATCCTGTAGCCTATTGCTCTTCAGTTTTCCTTAACCCCCAAATTTTTCTCCACGTTTGCGGCAACTCAAATACCCCAGGGAAACTACGGCAGTATTTCGTTTAGCCCAATCGTCTCCCTTCCCACCCCCGCCTCCACCAGAGCGTAACGCAGAAGTAGACGGGGAAGCGTGTTGTCCCTCGTAATCAATGAAAAAGGTATGGTAAACCAACGTTGTAGTGTTCCATCCTTATTCTGTTTTATATTCTATAGACAAATGTTTACTGATTATTTGGAGATTGATTTCATTTTCATTTTTTTTTTTGATACCGAGTCTTCTTGTGACGTTACCACGTAACGTATGGCTGCTACCTGATTGGTCAATAAGTTAGCCAACCAAGTCAACCCCGCGTCACACATTTCCTATGACATTTCAAGTTGTGAACGTAGGCCTCAGGTAACGAATTACTCAAGAAATATTTTTATCTTGTAAATTGTTGAATATAGATAATAAAAATAAAGATAGCACTTCTCTCTTGTTCTCACTTTCCAGTGGCGTTTTGCAATATGCTTATCATTGTACGTTCATCCGCTCATGTGGCTGTTCTGTTGTTTTGGTGTGATAACACAATGTGGAACTTACTGTTTGACTGTCCATTCTAATCTGTTGTTTGCTTAATGCTGAAAAAATGACCCATATCAATGTCAATTCTTCAGCTTTACCTGATGTAGTAAGTTCTGGAGAGCGTTTGATTCATTCGTGATATCAGATATATGCGTGCTGGACTTTCACTGCGATGAATTTTGGCATCGTTAGCATATGTTAACTCCATCTTTTCTTGAAACAATAGGATACAAAAAAGTGTCTGTTTCAGTTTAGAGAGTTTTTTTTTAAGTTTCAGATTTTTGTCCTTTTTGAATAGCACCGCCAAGAAAAATTTTAGGAAATTGTAAACGCGAGGATTTATTTTGCAGTTGTTGTTGCGCGATAGTCGATGTTACAAAGGTGTGGCTGTTTTACAAGACCCTAACGGAGGAAACTGGTACTCAGCATCAGATATGTCTTCACAAGGAGTCTCTTCCAGTACGGGATGCCCAGTTTTTCTTCTACACCAATTGTAAAATGGTTCTAGTGATCCGGTGTTTCCCTCAGGGCCGAAAATACCCAGAACAGTTGTGAACAAAATGAGGGCGTAGATGATTGAGAGGCCAATGGTACAAAACATGAAAATGCCAAACTGAAAAAAAAAGAGAATTTTAGCAGCTATCATGAACACAGACGCGCCCAGTGACGTGCTTGCTCCTGACAGCACGGAAATTCCTACATGATCTAGTGTGTCTCTGACTTTTTCCCGGCGTGTAGGCTTCTGGGATCTCACGTAGCCATCAGCAAGGTGAACTACGTAATCGACAGCAAGTCCTACAACAAGAGTGAGATTCAGAGATTCAAGAACTCCAAGCTTCCATCCCGCTAGCGGTATAACACCAACGACACCAACGGTAATACAAGCTATGATGGCTCCACAAAGCAAGCCTACTAGCCAGTTTGATGTCATAACAACAAGAAGCGATATCGCTAGACCCAGTCCAAGCAGGATGCCTCGCACGGCAGTTGATGCTAGCACCTACGGGAAAACAAGGAAATGGTATGGTTTTCGAACAAATAAATTTCATATACATTGTAAAGAGCTGTTTTCTTAAATACGCATCTTTCATTTTTGTTTTCTGAATCGCAACTGAATTTGATAAATTTTGTTATTTTTTTAAATTATGCAAGTACTATTGTCCTAAACTAGTGTTGCATGTTATATTCTCTAAAAAGTTACCTTTTTGACCTTAAGCCAGTGCCAGGCGTTATGTCCATTAGGAGTTGCTTGAAAGGCGCTGTTACATGAAGTTGGCATCGTCTTTAACTAACAGAGAAGAGAGATCTGTGTTAGTCTAGTATGTACTAACACTAAAGATTTTGTAATTTTGTTTACATATACTTTGACATATATTTGTGAATGTAAAAGTAGTTTTTGACCTTGAATGCATTAGCAAGCAAAAGTGTCTCACCCAAGGTAAGCGATTTTTTCCCCCGCTTTAAACAGAACACAAAGTATATTTTCCGGTCTCCATGATAGAAAACAAGATTGTTATTCGATTCAGTTCTACGTTTAAAGTTTGATAACAAATGAAATAGGTTGTAATGTAAGTTCATTTAAGATGGAGATAAATATGTCTGTGGTGGAAATACGCGTTTTACACGTTGCTGTGCGTCTGTTCAGTAAGAGATGACAGACGTCAAAATGTGGTAAGAACATCGAGGACACACTCGACTGCGCTACTTTTTTGTTCTTACCACATTTTGACGTAATTTGCGATATATTTTTAAAAAAGCTTACGTGTTTCTGATTTTTCGAGTGTAAAACAGAGCTTATTTCGAATATTATAAGATTGAGACGCCTCGCGATTATATGTTTCCTGATCAAGCACTTTTGTTGCGACTAAATGTCGAAAGGAACAAGCTATTGAGCACACCACGCCCGGTGAAAGGCACCAAGGCTCTCCAGCTGTCTTTTTCTGCTTTCTTTAATGGCTCGGTTTTTCAGAACACAATTCCACTTACATCCCAGTTTATTTCATTCTGAGTAACTTTGGTTAATCTCTTAGGCTCTCACACTCTGATTCTCACTGGATACTTCTTTAACTGCGGAATTCAGGCTCTACTCTGCTGCACACTGTCTACATTCTTCTAGTCTTCTCTTCACTCTCCATCTCCTCTATTCTCTTTTCTCTCTCCTCCCCATTCTTTTTTACGTAGACTCTAAAGAACATGCTTATATATTCACTACTGACAGATATGGGAGGGCAGGTCAGCTGGCTGACCCCGGAAGATCAAACATCCGTTGTTAGAACGCTAAACCAAACAATTTCAAGAGACTTTCGATCTGAACAGTGGAGTACTTAATCATAATGCTTTCGCTCCTAAGTCAACCTCTGACTGTTTTAGTCAAAACAAGAACTTTCGTGTGCGTCTAAAGCAAGGTCAGTAAACAAATTAAGCACGTCCACTTGAGGAGGTTAGACAAGGCTGTCACAATTCGAAAACTAATCACGACAGCTCTAACCTAAATAACCTCGGAATTCGAATTCATACATTAAACACTTCTAAATACAAACGATAACTTATATCACACCGAACTGACTAAAACTGACTTACTGGTTATAGAATAACTACATGCTCTATAACACTATGTAATTTACTGAATTAAATACCATTTTACGGAAATAAAATTAACTGACATAAATTTTCAAAAACAACTTTGTTGGTACCAAAGACATAAGAACTGGCATAGTTTGAAGCTACACTGGTTTGCAGATTTAATGAATGTAACCGAAGAAGTTACAATTCATAGACCCAACGTTTCGACACTCCTGTCTAGTGCCTTCATCAGGGGTGATCTAAACGCTGCAACAAGAGGTCCTTTTATATGATCACTAATTAGCGGCCTTTTTTCTGACGAGGTGTAAATAGGCGTCAGGAAGCAGACCGCCATCGTCACGATTTAAAGGAGAGTGGGCGGAGTTAATGTGCCAAGCCTCCAAACAAAGGCGCTGGTGGTAACGCCGATTAGTAGTGATAATTTTAGAATTATCCCACCCAATTGTATGGTTGGTTAGGCAAGTATGCTCCGATAAAGCTGAATTTTCCTTTTTGCAAAGAAAAACCGCTTTTTGGTGCTCTTTTAACCGTGTACCAAACTGGCGTTTGGTCTGTCCGATGTATTCGTTATCACAGTCATTGCAAGGAATAGAATAAATGGCGTCGGTTCGTTGTTCTTTCGTGACAGGATCCTTAGGTTTGGCGAAAATATGCCCCAAAGTCTGAAAAGGTTTTTGAGCAACTTTAGCGTTGTGGCTATTCAAAATTCTCTTGATGGGTTCAGTAACACCCTGTATGTAAGGAATAACAGCAAAACCAGTCGCTTGTTCCCTTTCATCAAGAGCGTTACTATTTGTAACTGGTTTTTGGCAGTTACGGAGAAAAGTTTTTGTATAGCCATTTGCCTTTAGGACATTGGAAACATATTTCCTCTCCTCAGCCTTCGAATCGAGTGATGATGGTAGACAATCAGCCCTCCTAAGTAAAGTTTTGGCTACAGACTTTTTATGGCAAATAGGATGGTGAGAATCGAAAGCGAGGTATTTGTCGGTGTGGGTAGGTTTACGATAGACACTTGTCTCTAAATTACCCTGAACCCCTCTAGACACATTTAAATCAAGAAAGGGCAAATGTCTATCCTTTTCACGTTCAAGGGTGAATTGGATCGACGGCTCTACTGAATTCAAATGCGACAAGAGGCGCTCCGCTTCATTTCCGGATACCGCAGAAATAACATCATCGACATATCGTTTCCAGAAAAAGGGTTTAACCGGTGAAGTGGCTAAGGCCCATAAGAACTGTTGTATTCCCGCCAAACACGTGGATTCACCTTTGATAGTGAAGGTTTCTTGATATTTTACAGCTGAATTATTTTATGCTGTATTGAGAATACCTTTTCCCTTACGAAGCCTTCCCAGTGATCGTACACTTTAAGTCCTTCAGTTTGCCCCGTCTTGCTAAGAACCATGGTTGTATTCACAGCCACAGAAGCAAACAGTAGTCTGTTTCCGTACTGGCCCCCTGAAATAAAAAAAATAATGATATTCATATGTTTGCAAGGGAAAAAGAAACTGTCGTCACATTTAGGCACAATAACATTACATTATTTGTCTCTTGATCATACAGTGTTGCAGTCTTTCTTTTGAAGAAGGCACCTTTAACTTTTTTCCTGCGAAAGATTATAGCCTGCGTGAAATTCTTCGTAAGAAAAGTTAAGTTAGAAAGCACTTCTGTTCGGAATGGGCTCCTAACCGACTTAACAGGAAAAATGAGAATGGAAAAGTCGAAGGAAGTCTAGAGCGAGTTTCTAAATTATCACTCCGACCAGTTTCTGTTCATTTCCAGACTGTAACCCGTAAGTTTAACTCCTCATGCTACAATGATCTCGCCATAAGGTATTTTTTAACAAAACTGCAGACCTTGATAATTTGGAATAGAGGAAGAGTCAGTTGGATCCTTCGCTCCTCCCAACAATCCGCCGAACGTTTTGAAGTCAGATGACGTTACAGTCTGATTGGCATTGGTCAGCCAATAGCCAAGAACCACCTCAAAGTATCTGTCGTACATCTCACCCACTAACGTTACGTTAAACAGGTCAGGGTTTCGTGCCATTAACTGTCGTACGTCACTTTCACGTGATGGTATCGCAAACACCGTGGTGTTAGAATACTTGGGCTTGTTAGCTTCATCCTGTAAAGATGTAAAACAAGCCTTTATTGCGTTTGTATGATTGCGTTGAGCGATAGCTGGTTCTAAATAAGAAACTGTCTCATCAGAAGTTGGTACTTCGTATCGCATGTGCAATCCTAATGAAATAAAATATTTCTGCACTTCATATACTAGAATCATACTGAAACGTCTTAGACAATTTTCTTTTGTGCTAATATTCCTTATGTTGAGTATTTCATTTTGTATCAAGTTGCGATTTAAGCGAGTTTATTTTTTTGCATTTGAGGCCATGTTTAGCGACACTTCATTATTGTGCTTATATTAAGTGTTTCTTACCTGCAGATAGTCATTCAATCTGTCTATGAAACATTGGATTTCTGGTTCACCCGTAATTGCGTTTCTCCTTATTCTCAAGTTTTGGATCTTTTTTTCTGGCAAGTTTTTAATTTCTTTACAGAATTCCTTTAAAGAATTGGAAGAAAAAAGGAGCATATCAAAGTTGCTCTAGAATGAAAAATTCAAGAATAACTGCAATAACTGTAAATATCTGTACTGCTTAATTTAATTTTTTTCCTAAGTTAAAAAATGAACCGTTAGATTGATGGAAAAGGAAACAAGAAATGACTTACTAACAAAGCCACCTGGCACTCTGATGGATTTAAGTCAAAACTTGGATCAAACACAGTGTTCCCTTTGCATTTAAAGTCTGTAAAGTGACACGAGCTACGATCTTGATTCTTCAGTCCCCAGATGATATGAACCTCAACTACGTGATCTTCCTGACTTGGTCGAAATGCCGAGCGCCGTAACCTCTTTATAATGTACCAATTGGTGCCCGGGCCCCATACGTCCACCTATCGTGAATAGTGAAAGTAACATGTAACATCTATCAATAGAAAAATTATTTGGCTTAAAATGACTAGGAATTGCATGTGATAGTGAAAAAGGGGCGCAGGTCGTCTACACAGGGAGCTTGGTAAATTAACATCTATTCAATGTTAAGTCTATTGCTTTGTACGTAATTTGCTTTAATTGCCCCTGTGAGCATTTATTTTTATTATAAAGTAAACCCTAACGTAAATCCAAACGTTCTTACTTGGTCTCGATTGTGCCATACGGTCCGTTTTGACGGAAACGGTCAGTAGCCTTGTATTTCTCATCACGAAAGCCGGCACATTCAAAATAAATAAGTTTGGTCCGAGTACCATAACCCACTTACTAGAATCACCTGCTCGAGCCGCTTTTTGTACTGCCACGACCTCAAGCCAAGATTTCCCAGTACGGACCTCACGTTTAGTAAGTAAGAGGTTAGTATCGCTATGCTGATAACGATGCAATGAATAGAAATAACCCTTATGAAATGGATCGTGAAAATCAAATTTAAGTGGAAGCGTTCATGTAATATGAGAAACCTGAAGTAATTTTTGCAATGAATCACTCAGTGCTGCAGAATTCAATGGAATTCAAGCGATTGTGACAGCAAAAGAAATGTTCCAAGAATTCTCAGTGAAAGAAATCGAAATCGTTCATCGGTTTACTTTGACCAACATATCATCAGTCTAACGTAAGTCAACTCACACATCATTCAACGTAAAGTTACTCTCTCGTTTGCCAATCAAATTTTCGGATAGCCATTGTATTCTTTAAATTTTGATGGCTAATTGAAAGTGACCCGTTCAACATCGATGTCATCTGAGCAACTTTCATCTCCGTTGAAGCTACTGCACGACCTCAACTTTTTTTACTCATAGAACAGAAACGTTTCTCATTAATTATGAATTAGTGAATTTCCATGAAATTATAAATATCCATGCCTAATTGTTGTAGTTGTTTAGCTCAGCAGCTACATTTTTTTAATTAGAGAGCCAAATAACAAAGATTGATTCTATTTTAGTTTTTTGAGAAACATTTCCCCATAAATGGAAAATTAGAGAGACAGGTTTTTTGTTAAATTGAAGGCATGTTATTAATTCTGTTTTCCGAAAATTACAGGAAACCTTCGCACAACCAGGTTTGATATCCATAAAAGAGTAAGGAATAACCGCATTAAATGTAAATAGGCCTGAAATGTTGAACGAAATGCATCGAAAATCGCACGAAAATGAGAACTTCGATATCAGGAAAAAAATAATGTTGAGATATGTTCCGCAAACCGGCAGCGAATGAAACAAGCTTTAAACTGCTGCTCTCACTTTCTGTTCGCGGAACTGAAACAAATTAATTATGGAAAATGTTGTTCACATATTGTTGGAAATTAAGTCTAAAATCCATATGCAGTCAGGGCCACAAATACTCTCTCATTAATTAGCGTGATATGTGACAGTACTGATATTCATTCTCGGCCAGAAGTTTTTAATTTAGCCTCGCAGTGATGGCTTTGATTCCTCATGGTTGCCTTGGCATTGTCGCAAAAGTGTTTTCTGAATTAATCTGAGCTTGTATGAAAACATTTACAAGAGGCAATTATATTTAGAGTCAGATGCCTACCTAATGTGACACTTAAATCATCTTACCACATTTACCGCGAATCGTTAATTTGTCTTCTAAAATTTTTTTAGAAAACCTGATACATAAGCTTTTTAGTGAGTACTGCGAAAAATGATTAATATTACTAGGAAACCGAATTGGTTGGCTAATTTATATTTGCCTTCTAACATTTTGCTTCATAAATTGCCAAGAGTCTAACGGGTGGTAAACCAAACCTGTGAACCGCATTTGGTTCCATAATTCATTTGGCAGTTTTTTATAAGTTATTCTTAACATTTTAATAATACTATTTACTAGAAACTGTTGAAAGAAAATTTGAAAATTTCGGAATATGCAGTTCTAAATTTGCTCCTAAAGAAACCATGCTAAATATTAAAACAAAACTACGTAACAACCACTGGCATAATAGTCACAATTATCACCTCGCCAAGTGATTATTTCAGCTCTCACTATTAGGGGCGGCACAGGTACCCCATCGTTACTATACAACATGCATACTTCATAAACTATTTCTGACATGAATCAAACACCTACCGGTTCCTCATCTGGGGTGAGCTGTGTCGCAAATCCAATAGAAACACACAGAAAAACCAAAAATACTCCTAGGATTATCCAACGAATTTTCTCGTGTGCAATAAAGTTTTTGAAAAACCTGTTTCCTAAGAAGTTACTGACAAGTTTACTTGGCTCAACGAAGTTGTCTTCCCGTTGTTCCTCTCCTGATACCTCGCCTTGAACAACGTCTTCTCTGCGCGATTTTACAGCTTGCCACGCTTTCAAATCTCCAAAACAATGCCAACGATAGTTTTTCCAGTAAAACTCGTAAGTTATAATGACCGTGGGAAAGAAGATAACAACGGAGCAGAAATTTACAAAAACTAAGAGCGCTGAGAATATGCCAAATGTGGACACGCCCAACAAGGGAGAAAAGACGCTCGTTACAAAGGCTACAATTGTTGTAAACGATGTAGTAAACATGGCACTAGCCGCTCGCCGGTAAACAAAGGAGATCCTTGATGCCAAGTCGCGAAAGGTCTTTGACTCTGAAGCTTTCCACGTGTCGATAAATACAAACACATCATCGGCTCCAATACCAAGAATAATAAACACGGAGAGTACGTGAAAAATACCGATGTACCGGCAGTCCAATATCACCCGGTAGATAATGTTCGCGCCGAAGAAACACGTAAGTATGCTGAACACGGCCCAACCTGTTATCCAAATGGACTGAGTTTGAAACAGCATGAAGAGGAAAATAAATGTAAAGCTAGCACCAGCCAAAAGAAGATCATATATGACCTGCTGAGAAATGGCATTAAAAAATAACGCACGGAGATAGTAATAAAATTTCATCTCCCCAATTCCTTGTCTAAATTTCACATCTAAATGTTCGGCAAATGCGCCCTTAGAATATAACTGAGCTTGGTCCCACTGTTTGTCGACTCGGTCTTCAGTGTTATGGAATCCTTTAAGAGGATAACCAATGTAAAATAACGACCTTGTATATCGAGATTGAACTAGCATGTTCTCATTGGGATGAACCGCGGCGTGTTTGTCCAAATGAAAATCCAGTATAGCCCGAGTTACGTTTATCGAGTTTGCCAAAGATAGGATTCTTGAAATGTTTTCAAAATCTGGATCAAACAAATCCGTATGAATTGATCTGTAACTCCCGTCAAAGAATCGAATTATAGATAGGGGAGGTTTACAAAGACCATTTTCCAGCATTTGACAAAGGCGTTGCTGATATATGGAATTGTTAAAGATTTCCATCTCAGCTTCTTGAATGAGTTCCAAATTTCGTTTTGTAAAAGTATTTCCCTTTCCAGCGTCGTACATCAATTCCAGAACGTCATATTGAATAATTCTCTCGCTTTGAGTTCCCACGGAAGTGGGATTTATATTTACTCGGGAATCTTGCCGAGCGAATTTCCACGCATCTGCGCGAAGTTTTGTCACATCGTGTTCAAGATTCAAGGGAACTTGGGTAAAATCGGCCGGCAAAATATCATAGCCGGAAAGATAGAGCGAACCCGTCACCAGAAGCAATACGAAATGCGCTCCCAAAGTCAATCCTGTAAAAAAAAATAGAAAATGAAACACATTACACCTGTGTACTAAACGTCGTGAATTTTGATATTTTGTCGTGAACATGAGCTCTTCGAAACTACTTACCGAAACAAAATTTTGGCCTCTGAACAAGGAAGCGAAATACCCAGGCGGCCATGACCTAGATGAAGCAATTTAATCTTTCATTTTCGCAACAATCTTACGAAGAATACACGCATGTTTAAAAATACACCACCGATAACATTCTGTAAACTGCTTTTCGCCGTTCTTTTAATCTGGCGGCAACTAATTTGCATAATTCAAAAGCTTACGCGTCAGCGGTTATCCCTGCACGAGTCCCTTTCTCATGAAATAATGACATATGGCTTTTTTTCGGTGCTTTGAGTTTCCAAGAGGTGATCTTACGCTAAATAGCACGACCTTCTGAGTTGTTAATAAAAACTTAGAAAGTGTGATTACAGTCAGGACAACGTCACAACAGAATACATATATAGTTCGTGGCTGATACGCCTGAAAGAATCCGCGCAGATTGAATAGAATACTATCGAAAGAGAGAGTAAATCAACGTTAAGAATGAAAGATTTTTCGAAAGCGATGGCATAAACTGATCGACCTCAACATTGCTGTTACTCGCCTGATCTCCTTTTCTCAAGAAACTGTGGAAAGACGAAAGCGTATAGCAAATTCAAAATTATCAATTTGTTTTCAACAAAGTGAATTGTTTTTTGCATATATCAAGGTATCATTTATTGTGATTGTTGAATTTAAATGATCCTGAGATCTGAAAAAACAGAAATCAAATCATATTTTGGACAATTTTCTCCGCTGTCCACGTGGTCGTTTTGTCCCAACTTGCTATTTAGTGTTTGCAGATGGAAATTGTCTAGCCAGCAACACGTGTTTTGACAAAGATTCAATTCATACTACCGACACAGGTGTCCACACCACGTCTTAGTGCTGATAGGCTGAAGAAATAAGACCAAATCAAGAATGAATTGAAATGTATGCAAGGATAGATTTGAACGAAATTTTTAGATTCATGTTTGGTTGTTTATGTCTACGCATTTCTACACGCATGTCACGGACACTTGAAAGTACGAAATTCTTCAATCTATAACTACTCGCATCTTAAAACTACAGATGTCAGTTTATAGCAGTGAAAATAAATAGCTGTGTGAAAATAAGGTGAAACATTTATAGATGCAGAGGACAGTAAATAAATTTTGCTTTTGTGTAACAAAATACTGCGGGGTGTTTTCTAACCTTTTATAAAAGCTTGGATCAATCTAAAATTTATTTTGACATAACATAATCAATGAAAATAATAACTATACAAGGTCACGATGGCTATGATGTTCTCGGAATGCGCACGCATTTAATGCTCAGCAACGGAAAATATTATATGGATGTGTTCAAATGTACCTTACATTTACAATTAAACGTGTATATAAAGTTGCATCTTTAAGATGGGGTTAGTTTCTAAAGAAATTGTGGTGCTACGTCTGTGGGAAATTAAAGTTTATACTGTCATTCCCAATGACGAAAACCTCCAGGCTCTCGAACATTTTTCCGACCAACCTAATGTTAAGGAACCTAGCTCTGAAACACTACTCCGTCTAGCCGAACTAGTACTAACACTCAATTGTTTTTCATTCGGTGGCAACTACTATAAACAAACTAATGGCTTAGCCATGGGTACCAAAATGGAACCCAGCTACGCCAATTTTTTCATAGGTTTTATCAAACACCAATTTTTCAGTCAATCAATGGCTCCAAACCTGAACTCTACGGTCGCTACACTGACGACTGTATCGGCGCTACCTCTTCCACCAGAGAGGAACTCGCTCAATTTATAACCACCGTCAATTCTGTTCACCCGGTTTTGAAATATAGCTGGGAAATTTCCGACTCTCCTTTGACTTCTTTAGATTTTCTAAACATCAAAATTTCAACTGAAGGCAACGGTCTATGCGCCAGTGTTTACCACAAACCTACAGATTCTATAGTTGTTGCAGCATCTTCGCGTCCATCACACGTCAAGAACTCCATACCTTTTTCACAATTTCTCAGACACTTCGTCGTTTATGTAGCGACGACCCTGATTTTCCCGACAAATCGAAGGCAATATGCCAGTTGTTCGACTAACGTGGCTATCCTGTTTCTGTCGTACAAGCGGGCCACCACCGCGCCCAACAAATTGATGAAGAGAGCTTTTTTCATCCATAATATAGGGCGGTAAAAATAACGTAGTAAGACGTATTCACAGTGCAGAACGTGCACGTTCTTTATTTTGATTTTCCATGGGTAGAAACATTTGTTCTCACTATCCTTGATCATTATTATTAAAGTTTGTTTATCGCTCATCCTCGAACCCAAAGAAAAGGTTTTTTAGCTTGATGGAAATATTATTTGAAAATCATAAAAGTGATAGAATAGTTAATAGATAGCAAAAGGTGTTATCATCATATCTTAAACTTCGGTTACTCCTTTGCTTTTCCACAAAAGGCAGGTAAAAAGATTCTGGCCGCTAATGTAGCCGTTTGTCTCCCCCAGTCTCTGCTCTGTGGCTGGCTGGTGCTTTGTTCCTTTTTTTCTCCTCTCTCAGGATTCTACATCTGGGACCCCAGTTTCGATTTGATTGCGGAATTATCCCAATTCGGCACATGTTTCAACGGTCGGCGACATGACAGCGTGGAAAACCACTCTGATGAGACGTTTGAATTTCTAAAACTAAGGAGGCCGAAAACTCAGGGTTTACCTTCACTTTGATTTCCCTTACGTCGAACGAACTAACAGGGTGTGTGGATAGATTGTTACCAAGTTATTAACGAGTCATTAACGCACTTTTATGATATTCCAGATTCTTCTATTTTTATGCCTTCTTGTGTGACGAGGATTGTGAAATATTCCATGCACTCAGTTCAATATAGATTTTCTCAGCAACCACTGTGGGAATATCGAAAAATTATCACATACTTTTGCAGCCCATCAACTGCTGATTTGCATCGTAATGTATTTCCAGCAATGCTACGAACACGAAGACAGGTACACGTAATTCATCGTTTATTTTCGGGTTTAAGGGCGTGTGCTCCCTTAAAATAATTTTGTCTAAGATTTTATTTTATAATCTTTAAGGTGATAGATACTTTTCAGGGGTTTTATTGAAAGCGACGCGCGTACAGACCATTCTCAGAACACACTCGATCCCGAAGTTTCACAGTAACCTTAACGAGAATATATTGTAACATCAAAAAAATAAGAATATTCAGGCTAGGCGTAATTTTGCCACACTTCAGGTTTATACAATGTACAATATTCGTAGTAAAGGCATGCGAAGTGAAAACAGTCACACCTTTTTTTACAATACGCGCACTCAAATATATATCTACGTAAAGCTGTGGTTTGTAAAATTTGATAAATGGGATGTGTCCCCCAAAGAATGACGATAGAGCGAATTTCTTAATTTTTTTTGTTTTGTTTTTGTTTATTCAGCCAATGGGGTTGGGTAGTGAACTTGGTCACACAGCAAGATTTCTTACCACTGTTAACAATTTTTATTTTATTAATTTAAAGCTATCAGAGTCTAGTTGGAAAGATAACCCTCACACAAATTTATCCGGGTTTTCATTTAGAGGAGGGAATCGCTTTAAAATTCGTAGAATGCAAGCAGTCAGTTAGCCACTGATTTGTTATTATGCTGAGAGCGCTTTGACAAAGGAATTTGCTCATGCGCTTATAGAAATACCCGCTTATAGAGAACATCCTTCGCACGATCCCTTCGCATTGTTCGGAGTAGCCTGATCTAGGTGTTTAGTTAGAAAAACGAAGCCCGGTGGTGAACTGCGCTTTAGAAGTAGCCAGGCGAGTAGCGATGTCGGAGTGAAAATGCAAGGGAGGTTGGGTCGGGTCGTGTATACGACCCGACCCAAGCTTCCCTCGCTTTTTCACTCAGCTGCTACTCTACTATGACGCTGATGACAAAGTTAAGCTTCGTTTTACGAATTGAACCACTCGAAGCAGCTTACTCCCTTCCTTAGCGACAGAGAACGATTACAGACGGTTGGGTACCAACTAACTGAGTGGATATGCCTTACTGATGGATGAAACTTTCTACTTTCAAGAAATCAAAAATCTTATTAGTACTTACAAAGAATCTTGGCCAAGATCATGGCTAGATGTTTGTGTCAAGACTGAAGAATATCTCCAGTGAGTGAATCACACACATAGCTTTCTTGATTTCCACTCATTCACTTTTTATCTATTGTGAGAGTGGCAAAGTGTTTTTACGTAACGCGTGATTAAGTCCGGAATTATTATGTCACGCGTCAATTTTACCGAGAGGCATGCGTGATTCGTGAATTTAGCACAAGCACGAAGCGTGAGTTCCCTCCTTTGGAGTACTTATTGGTTAATCGACTCCTTTCATTGCTCTAACTTAACTGTCAATGATTAGGATAGTATATTGACCATAAAGTAATTGTGATTAGTCATTTTACTTTTTACTCAGGAACGTAGACTTACAATACGATTGAGTGGAAAGTAATGTCCTTAAGTAACAACGTTATGTAACGCAATACAGTACACCTCTTGAAGCATAAGTGACCCGTGAATATTTTCATTGCATTTCGTGAAAACCTCAAGATTTACCTGAAACCTTGCATACGAGAAGGTGTGAAGGTTTCCCTTCTAAATTTGTGACATCTGAATCCTAAAGTTCGCGCGTGAAACGGGATCAGGACTCTGTTTTGCAATTCTCTATTGCTTTGGGAGTTTGTTTGTGGTCCAAACTGAGAAGATGTCAAGAATTCCACATAACCCAAATTTTATTTTGCATCCATGATACAATTGTTTAATAAAAGAAAAAAATGGTGAAAACAGTACACAATGTAGTTTACCTTAAGGGGTCATGCTTTGTGTTGGTATAAAATGTGGTTTAATGAAATTGTTTCTTAGAGAAGATAATCGTTCTTCCTGATTTAGGGAACCCACGTTTAAGCAGAAACTGGCAATCCTAGATGTGGTGTCAAAACTGGTTTTTGTACAAACACACAAAGGTGACTTATCATCGGAAACCCAAGAACTGCTAAAACCACTCACAAGTATATGGTGTGGGATTTATTTTTGCTCCCTCAAGAATCTCAAACTTTGTCAGAAAGTAAAAAAGGTAAAACCAGCATATTCGTCTTTTTACATTTATTACTTGATAGTATCAATGATATTGTAAAATGTATTTAATTTAAA